GTTCTTGTTTGTGTTGATTTTTTTATAATATTTCGTATTTTCGTTGGTCGTTCAGAATCCTACTTCATCTTTTTTTATAAATTTTTTATGTTCTTGTTTGTGTTGACTTTTAAAATAATATTTATAGTATTTCTTTAGTTGCAATTGTGATACTTGTTGATTTTACACAAACAATAATTTTCTTTATTATTATCATTGTTATAACATTTATGAGAGACAGCATCAAATAGACATGCTGAAGGAATTAGTCTTGACACAAGTCCTTGTTCAAGAACCTGTGAGCTAAGAGTGTTGTCAAGTTCATAATTATCATTGCATATCATAAGTCATAACATTAATTAATTGTTTGTTTTTTTAATAAAATAAAATAACACACTTGATAAAACAGTAACATGTAAAATCAATACCTTCTTTTAGCTGGAAACCTCCACTAAAGTATTGCAGTAAGTTGATTCCAAGCATAGCTTGGTAAAATAACTTGCTTCTTCGAGAGCTGCAGATCTGAGCATGCGCGACCACACCCAAATTTTGGAGCACATGGCAAGCTTTATTAATTAACAAAATGGCGGCATGCAGCTAAGATGGCTCGATCCAGCAGTCACAGTATCACTTTTTCCTCGCTTGAAGAATGATCTGATGGGACATGGACCTGCGCATAGACTGTTGGAGTAGATTGGTGTAAGAATTATCCTTGTAGCACCAACCAATACTGAGATACACACCGACAACTGGATTGACAGGACTTCTGACTTGATGATGATGATGATGAAGATGAAAAAAGGTGGCTGAACAAAACGGCCGGTTCGCCGATTTTTGGATTTTCTCTTAGACAAGGTCTAGAGCCACGCTAGTGGTACCAATGGAGTCCTCTGGTCAAGATAAGGTCCTCTAAGAAGTCTGGTAAGCATAGGAGCTCGTTTTCCTGGTATAGCAAGCATAGGCGGCTGCAGGGGCAGGCAATGAGGGCAATGCCCTACTAGAATTTCTTACCGGAAGATGACATCATCATAATTAGCAGTTAATTAATAATTATTTAGTAGTTATTACATGGAATATAGCTATTTTAATGACAAAAACTACATTATTTTGCTCAACAAAGTGATAATTAGTAGAGAATAAGCTGTTAACTGCATGGTTTATTCACAGGAAGCCAGCCAGCCACTTCATAGGTCCATATCTATGGTCACTTCAGGAAGGCATAATCTACAGTAACCTGCAGCTAGAGTAACTGACTCCATCATATAGCAGCTTCATTATTATCAGCTAGGACTCATTCAACAGCTAAATCACCTAGCTACTGATACTCTATCATTGATAGAGGTCTTTTAGGTACTGAATTTTCTCTTCTTGAACACAAGAATGGCAGGGTAACTCTTCATTGAGAATTTCAGAGCCTCTTTCAACTTGATTTCTTCACAAAATGCTGAAATAGAAGTCTTAAAAGTCTTAAAACTCAAGAGCAAGACATGTGGGTGTGGTCATTGCCACACCTACTTTTTGACCACTCCCACTTTCAGCCACACCTTTGCCCTACTTGCAGTGAAATCCTGCAGCCGCCTATGATAGCAAGGCTGCAAAAGTCGTGGCAGCCATTTTGTTTGGGGGTGAATCCTACTTAGTAACGCTACCGCGTTACTAATATACAGGGTTTTGGCCTAATTTTTGAGTAACTTGACAATCCACTTACATGTACAAGAAACTGCATGAGCACTATGCCAAAATCCTGTGGGAAACCCTGCAACTCACATGTACAGTAACTGTGATACACCTCATACTATTATTCATTCTTATTAGGACATTACTTTTAATCAATGAATTGAGAACTGAGGACCTGAAGAAGTTTTGTAAAAATTACAAAGTTAATGAAAAGTAAGTATGATATATAGGGAAACTTTGGTATGTTCATAAGAGTTTTCATAATTATAATTGGGTGAAGCCCTTACTTACAAAAATTTCTGTCTGTATGTACGTGCGTTTGGGCATGACTGGGAGGTGCGTCAGGAGGTGGAACCCATCAATGTTTTACATTCTTTCTAGTTAGAGTGCATGCACAAAAAATTAAACAGTATAATGCATAATCATTGTATGCATACACATGTGCTTATGGAAGAATGACATTTGGAAGTATATAAATGCTTTCTACTATAATAGTAAGAACATTTTACATCTATATAATTTATTAATAATAGTACTGATAATCAATTGTTACTGGATGTTCTTTGTTATTAATTTTCTCTGTATGTACATGTATTATAGATACCTTTTTGGTTATTATAGTCTAGAACTTTCTTAGTGGTTACATTTACATGTGTACATAACTGCATGTACATGTATGTACTGTATAAGAGGAAACTTTGGTGGGTGTTTTATTCCAATATTTTTGTTGATACTTCAGAATGGCCTATATATATACCTGTAGCTTGATTTAGCACATGAATACTCGTGTGCTGTGTCACTGTTTTGTGACGTATTAAACACACACATGTGCTAGCTGGTATGCTTTCATTCCACATTTTAGTAATTGCAGCACACACCATTTACATGTACATGTACATCTTTGTGTTGTATTATCAAGCAAGAACATTAATTTTTCTACATGGCTCAAAACAAGCACCCATTAAAACTTTCTAATATATTTATGGCAGCTATATTCAATCTTCAATGCTACTATCATAGTTACAATTAATAATATTTTTGTCATTAATTACATCTTGTTTTTCACTGACGTGTATGTAGATTGTCTCTCTAAGGATATACTGCAAAAACTTAATGGTGTCAAAAAACAATGGAGAATCATATAACAACAAACAAAATGAAAAGTAATTGTTATTTTATTGTAATATTATTACTTTCAGTATTATTAAGTAAACATTAAGTTTTGAAAACTATGTATTGATTTCAGAAGGGATTGTTGGAGTATTTTTGACAATTCATTTCAGGATTGTATAAATTAATTTTGAATTACTATTAAAATATTTAGAAGTTTCACTGCATAGTTTATAAATCCAACCAAGAGTGGATAATCATCTACTCTTGATCCAATCATGTTGTGTTATGTTAGAAAAGGCACATGTAGTTTAATCTGCCAGAATTTGTGAATGACACTATTCTAAAACATTTGCTCGTATGTACTCATTTTTAGTTACTAAAGCCAATTGATGTATTTCAGGAACATGAAAAGTCACAGAGCTATAGCATAATATATGTAAAGGTAAGCCATAATAACTTTAATTAATGGACATTCTTCATGTAAGCTACATGCATAATAGTAGCCCACAGTAATATTACATGTATCTCTGCCTGCTGCAACCATAGTATTAATAACAGTGTTGTAAAATAGAAAATAATTAAAGAAGAGTCTGAACAGCAATAATTTTTTGCTCATGAGCAAGGACTTTAAGTACTTCTCTATCTCTTTGCAACACCATTGCACCCATTGAGGCTATTCATATTTTTATACATGTACATGTACATTGTATGATAGTACACAAATTTATTAATGACTATGAAATTTTGTCTGCCTGAAATTTCCGTGAGAAGCATGTTTTTTTTATCATTGATCGGACGACTTACACAAAAAATATGAACTTCTTGTATTTTTCTATTACCATGATCATAACACAAAGCAACAAATGTTATTGGTTTATGAATATAACCCAAGATATCCAAATATGATTTATTCATGCATTGTTAGGAGAATAGTCTTAAGTCATTCTATTGTAAGACACATGTTCATTCATGATGTCAGTAGCAAGTTGCCTACTGTGTGAAGGGTTGTTGAACTACATGTAT